TAACTGGTTGTTGCAGAGAATCTCTGCTATCCATTGAGGCTCTCCTTGTTGTAGAGGGTAGGATAGATTCTTTTCAATTGTTTGAAGAGTCTCAACAGATAAAAGAAACTCTGCTAGACACAATTGCCCTATTTTTCGGAGTATAAGACACACCTTCCCCCCCTAAAAGAACGTGGAAATGTTGGTGCATCTTATACACCGAATACAGCCATTTTTAGCGTCCCGAAGCCCCACCCCTGCATCCCATTTTTGTGAAAAATAGGCAGAAAAATGGGCCGTTTTTCACCAAAACAGTGTTTTTGCTTTCCCCCACCCCCCAGAAGCACTCTGCAAGCTTCAGCAGGGCTGGGGGAAGGGAAAAATGCCCCTATTTTGGTGAAAAACAGGGATGTTTTTGCCTTACCCTAGATCTACTGAAGCCTGCAGAGTGTTCCTGGGGGCTGGGGAAGACAAAAACCTTTTTTCTTACTTATCTCTTTGAAATCTTGGTGCATCTTATACACCAGTGCGTCTTATAGTCCGAAAAATACGGTATGTGCAGGGATGTTGTATTGTTCTTTCTAATCAGAAGAATGCTGAAGAGGACTGAATTTGCCCCTTTTTAAATCTGGCAGCCATAGCCATATAACTGAAAGCTGTCCTTACCCATTATACAGGATTTGTGTCAGCAACAGCTCAGGAGTCAGAGAGCTGTAAAAAACCTGATAATGGATGCTTTAGAAATATGAATAAATTAACCTTTAACATCTGTCTTACCATGTTTAAGTATATCTTGTTCAATTTTATTTTTAAAAGTTAAAAACAATTCCCATTCAATATCTCTTTAAAATATCTGTTCCTCCCCGAAGGTTGTATTATTGTCCAGTTATGTTCTGCTTTTTATTCTTGTTCTTTTGTCAGTAATTTTAAGATCAAATAAAAATGAGAGATATTATCAATTAAACTTTAATCGATTTATAGTAATGGAGAAAAATGGAGAAAAGGGAAGAGAGAAGCAACTTTTTTCAAGATTAGAAATAAAGCTGATCATAAGCCCTTGGCAAGATTAATTTACAATATCATTCTTGTTAACTTAAAGGTAAATCCTGTACAGTGTTCAAAAGGTTTTTACACTATGTAGAAGCATTTCGTTACTTCTTTTTCTTAAAGAGAAGTATCGTTTTTCATCTTCTAGCTGCATTCAATAATGGCTCTTTCAAAAATTTGCTTTTAGCAGGAACCTTAAAAGCTTCTGTGTGTTTCTGGAATGTGTTACTTTGATACATTTGTAAAATGTAGGACATTATAGCAGGAAGAATTGGCCTTCTCTAGTATAACATCCGCTATTCCTATTTTTTATGTTTCTTTAAACAATCCTGGGAAGTAGGTCGCTCTTAGAGCTGGAGACTGCCTAGATGAGAAAGTAGTGTGTATGTGAGTAGAACTAATGGCAAAGTTCATCACTTAGATTTCCCCGTGTAACATTTCTCTGTATCAAGCAAAATGATTTCCAGAATAGCTGCAATTGATTCAGAGGAGTGAAAACAAAAGAACTTTGAGTTGAACGAAAGCAATTAAACATTTTAGGATAAGAATCACCCATAAAACTTTGCAATGATGCTGTGTGAGTTTTGCACCTTACTTTTTCGTATTTGAGCTGATACCATTCATAACATTGCAGATAGCATCAGTTTTTGAAGAAACACTCTTAAGTGCATGCTTAAAACTTAAAAAAAACCCAACCAAAAACCCTTCTCTTTCCAATGGCATAAATAAGCGCCACCAAGCTAGTTTTTAATCACACTCCTGCCCCTGCATTTTTCCAACCCAATTAGGCTATTACCAGAATTAAATGAGGCATAGAGCCTCCAAAAGTCACACTGTTGTCCCGGAGATGGAACGTATATTGTGGCAGGGAGGTGAGCTGATGCTGCTCACTGGAGGGTGACTCCAGGTGTTTGTACATTCCAACCTGGGCAGAAAGATCACCTTCACAGAGATGTAACTTAGCAGATATTTCCCTTCCTTGCAAGTTTGCTTGTGTTTTTTTTAAAAAAAAATATACTTACCAAAATCAGTCTTCAAATGATTCCTACAACACACCTAACTGGATCAGCAAGCTGTTGTGGGTGTACCACAACAAAAACAAAGGTCAGTGGATTCAGTCAGCTAAACCAGTGGGTTAAATTTAACCCAAAAGGGTTAGGGTTAGGGTCACGCATGGGTTGAACTAATGCCACCCAGTCAATTGTGTTGGAGGAATAGCTAAACTTATGCAGTTGACCTTTACATGAGTCTCCATGTAAAAGAACTGGAGGGGGAAAAGTGGCGGAAAAGCACAAGTCTCCATTTCTGAACTCGGTGCCAAGGCTTGAGAGCGCAGAACTGAAATACAGGCCAGGCACTATAGACTAGCCTTGCTTATTCTACCTATCTGACCAGTGGAGAAAGGCTTGGTGATGCTGTGGCACATTGTGTCTCCTTTGGTAGGATACTAGGCGCCTTTTAAAGAAAGTGAAGGAAATACCCGTAATTTTTAAAGTGCTGACTTCTGACCCAGTTAGGGTGATTGTGCATTGCCAGAATAAGAGGTAAAGGGATTTCACTGGGATAGTGGCTGACTAGGTTAAGTATGCCACGAGGAAATCAGACTACTGGGTTAATAGGACTGAGATTATTATTATCCCTGAGGGAGTATTCCAGGAAATCATATATTACTCTTCATCATAACGATGACTTGTTCAGGCCGCAATAAGGATTAGATTATTATAGCCCCATGCTGCATAGTTTTCTACATTTAGGCAGAAGATTTTCTTCATAGACGTACCTTGGAGTGTTATGGGGAACATATTACTGGGTCTCCACAAGTCTCCCCCCCCGCCAAGTACAAGCTCATTCCTAGTGCTTGTTTAAAGCCTATCTTAGCATCTGAGATGCATTACTATTGAGTTTGGTTTTTCTGATGCAGTGGGTGGCACAAAAAAGCATTGGGGGCACACGCATTTCCTATTTCTGCACTTTGCAAAGGAACTATTCCAGACTTGTTAGCTGCCACTTAGTTACTTTTTAGTCTCATTTGTGCTGTCTTCTATAATTTATAATCTCAGTGGATTTCTTTCCTGAAATTACAGAAAAAATACAACCTTTGTGAGGCTTAAAGACAGCTATTCTGCTAAAAGCAGGAGAGGCAGTCCTTTTATATGACTAATATAGATAATAAGCGATGCTTACAAGTGAAGAAACCATTGGTACCCTCAATTTCCTCCCACCCCCCCTTATCTCAGAATTTGGAGACTGCCTAAGAGCATGGAGACAGTAGAGTCTAGCTGGTTTTGGCCTTATTCCTATTTTCTTCTTTTGTGTGATTGCCAGATCTGACACTGGGAGAATGAGGATGATTTGTCCTTCAGATCAAGGAAACCCAAGGAATCAGTTTTCCTCTTTTGTTGTCTGAGCTATTTAAAATATTCAAGAGTCTGTCTGAGTGTGGTTCTACCAATTTTTTCCTGTAGCATTTCATCCAACCTACAAATACTTAAAGTGCTAACATGATGGTTTGTGAGTTATAGACATAAGATAGGAGTACCCTGTTTTCCTGAAAATGAGCCCTCCCCGCAGATATTGCAACACAGCAGCAGCCATGAGGTGACCACGCTCACTGCCTCCTGCACCTCAAAAATAATAAGGACTCCCCAAAAATAAGGCCAAATGCTTATTTTGGGGGTCAAAAGAAAATAAAATCCTGTCTTATTTTCAGGAAAACAGTGTAACATTTTAGAATGGCTATGCTTTTCCATTGTTTTCCTTTATTTTATTTTGCATAATGGGAGAATGAGAAATTAGAATGAAAAATATATTGGAATTGTAAATAATGGAAAGTTGTGCATTGAGTAGAAATGTCTGCTGGAGACTTCCTTCTTTTTTCCCCTTTCTTTTCTTTTCTATATAAATATTAATTTAACAACTCTTCCATCAAATGGTAGTAAATGGACAGAAAAATCTGTCCACTTACTGTTTTATAGCATAGGGGAAGCTTCTTTGTCAAACATGAAATATTCACTTAGTTGTGGTGGTGCCTAAGAGCCATGGTGGCATAGTGATTAGAATGCAGTACTGCAGGCTAACTCATTGCTCACTCCAGGAGTTCGATTCTGAGTGGCTCAAGGTTCACTACTTCTGCTGACTGCCACTTGACTGCAATTTGGCAGTTCAAAACTCACCAGGCTCAAGTTTGACTCAGCCCTCCATCCTTCCAAGGTCGGTAAAATGAGGACCCAGATTGTTGGGGGCAAGTGGCTGACTCTGTAAACTGCTTAGAGCGGGCTGTAAAGCACTGTGGAGCAGTATATAAGTCTAAGTGCTAGTGCTATAGGTCTATGAGGCTGTTAAAACCTATTTTTCTTTGTGTATTTTGGTATGGATTTCTTTATATAGATTCACTGTCAAATAATAATTTCAGCAACTCATCACTCAGTTTCTTTAAATGGCTATTCTTTATGTCAATAATCATCCTCCTTGAACTGGATGCACATTTTGGAATTTCTCATTGATTATTGTTAAATAGGGAGCACTTTAGCTGGTTTTTCACTTGGGGAAAATGGATACTGAAACTAAGACACCATTGCTAGGGATATCGTACCTGAATTTATTTGCTTGCTATAGGTAAATATAATATGTTGGACATTTATTCATTTTTTCTATATGTAAAGCAAATGTGATGTTTTATGAAATAATTATAAGAAAAAAAACTTAAAGCAGCTGTATAACAAGGCTGTGATTTGTGACTTCATGATTTGAAGATGTCTTCAGATGTATTTCTGCAAATATATGCCATAAACTTTATTACAGTAATTTTGACATTTTACTAACAAGGCAAGAAAGAAGACACCGTGTAAATCTTTACGCTACATGTCTCTTTTGTATTCCTAGAGCAGCTGGTGTTTGGGAGGGATTGATTCTATGGACAGTTCTATACTCTTTTGTAGACATGATTTTTTTTTTACATTTCAATATTGTTTTAGGAAGTCTTGAAGATGAATTCTACGTAAACTGCTAGTGATACTGAAGAAGCAAGGAATTGCTGGATCAGATAAATTGCAATGGAGAAGTCCACTGAAGAGACATCAGAGCTATCATTATTGTCCAGCGGCTTATTGGACTTCAAGCCTGCCCATCTCAGCCATAGTGTGTGGTGTTTCAAATAGGAAAAAAATATGTCAAATTATATTAGGCTTATGTTGCTTCTTAGGTACCTGATTTGAAATTTGCAACGTAATTCCTTTTATATAAAGGAGGAACGATGACTTTTTATAGTTTCTGTTTGATCCTCTTTGCACTTACTTGGAGTAGCTCTGCCTATGGACCAAATCAAAGGGCACAGAAGAAAGGAGACATTATTCTTGGAGGATTGTTTCCCATTCATTTTGGAGTGGCTGCTAAACACCAGGATCTGAAATCTAGGCCAGAATCAGTAGAATGCATAAGGTAAGTTAATAACATCTTTCACTTGAGCTTTAACTCCTTGCTAGGCTAGCTCTAAACAAATTATATCATTCCTGGTTTCTTTAGTCATAAGCTATCTGAAATTTCTTAGTCCCGTATTTATTTTGAGTATAATCAATCCATCTTTTCCACTCCAGTTTATATCTCTCGTTTGAATGGTCCTTAAGATATGCAGATATTTTAGCCATCTTAGCTAGGTTTGTTATTTTCAATGTCCATTCTTGAGTAGTTATTTTCAATGTCCACTCTTTCTTCTTCCAGTATTGCACCACCAACAGTCTAGCTACGGTTATTAAATGCAAAATCAGTTAATCTCTACAACTGTACAATCAGTACAATGAATCTCTCATTGTTGAGGAGAATGCTGCACTGCCCTTGCAGGATCAGGTGTACAATTTGGGATTACTTACAGATTCCTCACCATCACTAGAAATGTTAATGATCTTCATGCCTGACAGCTGGTTTTTGAACTTTGTATCCCCCCCCCCCCCCAAAAATTAGCTTGTAACTCTAAAACTTGGCTAGGTTAGCTAAAAGATCCATCCATATTTGCTTTTCTGGATTATCATCAGAGGTGGTATTCAGCAGGTTCTGACCAGTAGTGGAAATTGTGAGTAGTTCGGAGAACCGGTAAATACCACCTCTGGCTGGCCCTTCCCCATCTATTCTCTACCTCCTGAGTCCCAGCTGGTCGGGAGAGAATGGGGGTTTTACAGTATCCTTCCCCTGGAGTGGGGTGAGAATGGAGATTTTACACCATCTTTCCCCTGCCACGCCCACCAAGCCATGCCCACAGAACCAGTAGTAAAAAAAAATTCACCACTGAGCATCATGATGACTTCACCTGCGACTCTTCTCTAGGTGCCCCACCAAATGAGGCAAGAGAGCCAATCAGAGAAGAAAGGATCTTTTCATGAGTGGCATTTTGTTTGTGGAAAGCCTCTCCAGAGATGTTCACCTGTCACTTTCATTATGGCCTTATAAGTGCTATGTGAAGACCTCTTCATTTTCATAGAGAAAATAACTTGTGCTATTTTCTTAGTTTTTAAAAAATGTTTTGTGTTCAGTTAATATGCTTTAATTTATACATCGTCTAGAAACATTTAAGTATCCAAATATTATAAAAAAGAACACACTAAATTGTATAATTCTATCCTGCAATCAGAGGTAATGATAATAAATTATTTAGATTTATAAAAATAAAAAAGAATGGTAAAGAGCACCTTAATGGCATTTCCAGACTAGAGGAATGAATTTTGTAATAAGGAATGCAGTTCAGTATAAACAAATGCAAAATTGTGTAAATTGGATTAAAAACCTAATCTCTACATGTGGGCTAATGAAGTCCAAACTGCCAGTGGCTAAGATAATTTCTGCACTAGTGATTTGCAATTTCTTATAGCATCACCTAGCTGTGGTTGAAATGAAGTAGCCTGTTTGCTTAAGCTGTTAAATTTGGCATAATAGTTGAGTGATTCTAGAAGATGTTATAAATAGAAATCACCTAAAAACATTGTCAGTGTTACAGTGTATTAATATGCTGATACAATGAAAATATCAACCCAATGTGTTGCTTATTTAAAATTATACATTCCATGTTAGGATTCATAAGAATTGAAAGTAACACTTCTAATATTGTAATCAAAGTTCTGCAATGATTTTGCTTCAGTTTTCCAATGCTTCATAGCAATCACACAGTCCTAGGAAAAACTATAGACCAGGGGTGTCAAACTCAATTTCATTGAGGGCTGCATCAGAGTTGTGTTTGACTTTGGGGGACCAGTGGGAGGGCTTGGCCAGGGTGGGCATGGCCAGCTCAACATCACGTGTCGGGAGCACCTATGGGGGCCCAAGCACTTTGCCAGAAAAAACGGACTACTGAGCTCCGTTTTTGTCTGTGACAGCCTCCTGCAACCCTCTGCCAGTAAAAATGTGTGGCCCTCCCAAGCTCCGTTTTCATTGGCAGAAGCACCTTAGGCCAGTCCTCCACTGTTTCAAGGATGGCCCATGGGCACAATCTAAGCACCCCTTGAGCCAAATCGGGCCTCGAGTTTGACACCCTGCTATAGACAGCTACTATGTTCATGCTTCTATATACTCCAAAACACCTTTTGGAGACTGAATCTGAAGAATTATTCAGCCCTGACTGTAATTCCCTAAAATAAACATATAGTGGAAGACAACATATATTTTTCGCCACAATGCCTCAAGGGAGGGGTGTCATTGTGGCTCAGTAGTTAAGACGCAGGTTCAAGACCCGAGCACCACATAACATGATGAGCTCCCATCCTCCATCCAGTTGCTGCTAACCTAGCAGTTCGAAAGCATACAGATGTGAGTAGATAAATAGGTACTACTTTGGTGAGATGGTAACAGCACTCCGTGATGCCATACTGGCCACATGACCGCAGAAATATCTTCGGACAGTGCTGGTGTAATGGCCTTGAAACCAAGATGAGCACTGTCCCTACAGTCGGCAATGACAAGTGGAGTAAAATCCACAGGGACTCCTTTGCCTCAGGGGAATACTTTAAAAACAGTTAGAGTTACTTAAAGTACTGCTTAGAAGTGTTTTTTAAAATAATAGATAAATCTATGTTAAAGTTGCTAATTTTGGTGGTCACATATTACCTCCTAAATTACAGGGAGGTTGCCATATAATATCAACTCTCTGGGTAACCCTGGGTGAAATTCTTCCATTATCCTTATGGGCTTCCTGCATCATTTGATTGGTCATTGAGTAACACAGAATTTTGGACAAAATGGGCCTTAATATTCTGATAATATATCATGTAATACCTCAGGGATTGCCCAGAAAGTGGGATAGCATATAAATGTTCACTACTTGTTTCTGAAAAATTTCATAGGGCAATTCTCAATACGAATAAGAACAGTTTCTTGGCACATTCTCTAGACTATGTGTAATGTAATCATTCAAAACAAGACCTCAAAACAATTACCTTTTAGATAATAAGGATATGCTGTTAAATTGTGTCAGTGGTTGTTGAGAACTCTGGAAGCGGGAGAGGTTGGAGAGAGAGCGAGAGAGCACTTTCCACTGTCCAAAATGCCCATTGTTCTGATCCAACAGGGCTCTGTTTTGCATGTCGTACAACTGTCATGGTTGTCCATTGGAGGATTCAAGGATCAAATTATGTTCTGGGCATTATTACCTCATCGCACATATGACTTGCACTCTGTAATTTATATCATTTGCTTGATAATGACATAATACAACTGATGTAAATTGCATCATTTGCACAATATAAGTGGTCATTGTGATTTGAAATGGATGCTTATGTGAACTTGCCCTATTTTTGGTTAATTGTTTTGAAATATGTAGTTGCATTTCTCTTTGGAGGAAAATGGACTTAGGAAGTGCTCTTCCATTCACTCAGAAACAATATATATTCCTGTTTCTCTCCTCTATCTTTATATAAGACATTGTGCATATTTTGATTTCTCTTCCTTTTTTGTAGATATAATTTCCGGGGTTTTCGCTGGTTACAGGCAATGATATTTGCCATTGAAGAGATTAATAACAGCCCAACTCTTCTTCCCAATATGACTCTTGGATACAGCAGTTTTGACACCTGCAACACAGTGTCTAAAGCTCTGGAAGCCACATTGAGTTTTGTAGCCCAAAACAAGATTGATTCTCTGAATCTGGATGAGTTTTGCAATTGTTCGGATCATATCCCCTCAACAATTGCAGTGGTGGGAGCAACGGGCTCTGGGATTTCCACTGCAGTTGCCAATCTTCTGGGTCTCTTTTATATACCTCAGGTGAGCATATGTTGTCTCTTTCCAATGCTAGAAATAGGATGGTCCTAGGCAGGTAAGCTTGTTAATTACAAAAATGTTTCTACTGTTGCTATGGCATGTTTCATCATCTCTTCAGTCAATCTCACAATGTATATAAAATCTTAAGGAGTTAATGTAAAATTTCCACATCTTCCCTTTTTTAAAAGAATAAATATCCCTTTTCCAATTTTGAACACCAACAGGATTTAACAAGTCATTCTAGCAGTCTGTGTGTATATGTCTGAGTAGCCCCTAGATTCAAAAGGGCAGCTCTACAACCCATTATAATCATAGGATAATTTCTCTATAACATATTTATTTTCTTATGCCCATATTAAATAGCATAATGCGCATTGTGTATTTACATCAGCCATAGTAATTCATTTTGCAGCTTCCTGTTGAAGCATGTTTCAGCATGTAACAACCCAACATGAGATATGATTCCATCTGGCCATTGATTTTCTTTAATATATTCAAAATATTTATTGTTGTGGCTGCTGTTTTGGCCTAATTTTTAACGAGCTAGTTTGATTGGGTATTTGATTAGGAATTGGTTATGTCAATTCTAGTGACAAGAAGGTCTAGGGATGACATGATAGCAGTGTTCCACTATTTGGGGGGGCTGTCACAAAGAAGAGGGTGTCAAGCTGCTTTCCAAAGCACCAGAAGGCAAGACAGGAAGCAATGAATGCAAACTAATCAAGGAGAGAAGCAACCTAGAACTAAAGACAAATTTCCTAACAGTGAGAAGGATTAACCAGTGGAACAGCTTCCTTCAGAAGTTGTGGATGCTTCATCACTGGAAGCTTTTAAGAAGAAACTGGACAGACACTTGTCTGGAATGGTATAGTCTCCTGCTTGAGCAGGAGGTTGACTATAAGACCTTCAAGGTTCCTTCCCATTCTATTATCCTATTAACTGTTAAGGGATTGTGACTAAATTAGTTCAGATGCTGCTCAGATTTTAAATGCATGGTCTGAAAATAAAAGACTGATATAACAATGTGAAGTATCCCATCTCTGGAGAGAAAATACCTGAACTCAAAAGAACAATCTATTGTGATAGTGATTGTCCTATCCAATAAATTCAAATAAATAATCTAGAATATTTTTTCACATCTTTCCCCCCCCCCTGCCCCAAGCAGATGATTATTTAACTCTGAATTTCAGAAATTCAAATTCAGCCCAATTTCTCTAGTTTTCTCAAAAGATTTTCCCTTCTCCCTCTACATATTTGCTCCATGTCAGTGATATCAATATACCTGTCTGTATCTTGATACTATCAAGTCCCATCAAGCACTTACTGCATAGTCCTATAAAGGACTTTTCAGGACAACCTTAGGCCAAATGTGCATTGGGAAAAGCCATATCTCCCTGTCAGTCCAAAAAGGAAGACTAGAGTAAAAAACCAAGCATGAGTCAGGACTACTTTTATTGTAGAAGCCATAGTAAATGAATCTTGCCAGTCTGAATGTGTCCCCCCGCCCTCACTTGATTCCTGTGTGAACTAGGGATGGGGTCTGTCACAGGCATTACATTAAACTATTTTCTTGGCCCATACACAAGTCCTCTTATCTGACCATTACTTTAGTAGCAGCTCTTCTTCATGTTCTTCAAGACCATTCCTTAAGTCTTCTGCACTCCCAAGTAATATATCCATTTTTTACCTAGCTGAAGCCAAAATTCCTAAAATAAATATAGATTTGAAAATGTACAGTGGTTGCTTCTAAATATGATTGGAAATTTTCTTATATATTGGGGATATTCTCAAAGTTCTGGATGGGCTAAGGAATGTAGAAATAATTTGTCCGTCATTTATAAGTACTTCTTTCTCTTTCACTGACGCAACCAAGCCTCCTGATACAATGGAGAGCTGAGGAGGATGAAGTGGGATGGTGTAAGCAATTTAACTGGTAGAAGAAAATCCTGGGATAAAAGAGACGCAATATGATTAGAGCCCACTTGAAGGTCTGCTCTGAAATGAAAAATAACATAAATTACCATAAATTATGTAATACTTGAACAATGGGATAATATGTGAGCAAAGGTTTAAAATTTATATTAAATTATAACTGAAAAGAAAACTTACATAAGTTGATGTATCATTGGTACTTAACTCCAGACAAGTCGTCAAGAATGTATAAAGGCATTTCAAATGAATATTGGAAATATAAATGTAAAGAGGGGGCTTTTTATCATTTATGGTGGACATGTGATAAAGCGAAGAAATATTGGCGTAGGATTCATACCTTAATACATACAATTCTTAAAGTGAATATAAACAGAAAACCAGAGACTTTTCTTTTGGGTTTAATGAAAAAAGATTTAGAAAGAAATTTGGAACTTTGATGTTATATATGTTGATGGCAGCAAGACTACTCTATACATAGAAATGGAAGGCTACATTGATCCCCACAATGGACAAATGGCTGTAAAAACTGATGGCATTAACAGAGATGGCTAAATTTAGTGTTTGATCAAAGAAAAAAATACAAATAATAATTCAAAAAAATTCTACTTGGAAGCTGCTTCTAGACTTTGTGCTTGAAAAGGAAACATTGAGTTTGGGTTTTACCGATTACATAGATTTGTTGTTATAAAAATGGCTACTTTTAAATATTATGTAAAAGTAAAAAGTTGAGGTTTTACATTAATGTCTTATTCTACTGCAGGAGTTGGAAGTCAATGCCTTTTCTTTCTTTTCCCCCTTTTCTTTTCCTTGCTTTTCTCTTCCCTTTTCCCCTCCCTATCTTTCCTATTATTTACTTTAGTATTTTCTTTGTATGCTACATTATAAACTAATAAAAATCATTACATATAAATAAATTATCAATTTACCATTAAAAACATCCATAAATGGTTTACCATCTGATTGAGGGAACACTTCTCCCATTTGAAGGGCATTTTTCAGGATGATAGGAGAAAACTTTTATCTTTCTCAAATTATGGGGTGTGTTTTCTAGGGAGTAATGTTTGGCTGTCATCAATCCATAATCTCAATTAGGCTTTAAAATGTTATGGTTATAAGAATGGATATTCCAATTGGTATCTCTTTGGATTGTTAGTTCACTTATTAAAGAACTTTTTGTTTAAGGTACCACTGCATTTGTGAGTAATTTCTTATTCACTTGCAAACTGCCCTGCTGATACAACATTTTTTCTTCTTTAATTAAGGATGTGTTCATGGAGTCACATCCCGTGTGAAATGGTTCAGAATAGTTTTTACTTAAATGCGTTGCATAAGAATTTATTCCCCTCTTTCCTTTTCCAGGTTAGCTATGCTTCATCCAGTCGGCTCTTGAGCAACAGGAACGAGTACAAATCTTTCCTGCGCACTATACCTAATGATGAGCACCAGGCTACTGCTATGGCTGACATTGTAGAGTATTTCCGCTGGAATTGGGTGGGTACCATTGCAGCAGATGACAATTATGGCCGGCCAGGTATTGAAAAGTTCAGGGAAGAAACAGAGGAGAGAAACATCTGCATTGACTTCAGTGAGCTCATTGCCCAGTACTTGCCTGAGGATCAGATCCAACAGGTGGTGAAAGTCATCCAGAATTCCACTGCCAAAGTGATCGTTGTATTCTCCAGTGCTCCCGACCTAGAACCATTGATCAAAGAGATTGTCACCCGGAACATCACTGGCAGGATTTGGCTGGCAAGTGAAGCCTGGGCCAGCTCATCATTGATAGCAATGCCACAATTCTTTCATGTCATGGGGGGCACCATTGGATTTGCTCTTAAGGCAGGACAAATCCCTGGCTTTCGTGACTTTCTGCAGAAGGTAAACCCTAAGAAGTCTGCTAATAATGGATTTATTAAAGAGTTTTGGGAGGAGACGTTTAATTGCTACTTACCAGAAGGAAACAAAAATTTCCCAGGTTTCTTCCACAAAGGCTATGAAGAAGGCCCTAGAGCTGGAAATGGTACAGCTTCATTCCGTCCCCCATGTACAGGGCGTGAGAACATCACTAGTGTGGAAACACCGTACATGGATTATACCCACCTGCGGATATCTTACAATGTGTACTTGGCAGTATATTCCATTGCTCATGCTTTGCAGGATATATACACTTGCACTCCTGGGAAAGGGCTATTTGCCAATGGTTCATGTGCAGATATCAAGAAAGTTGAGGCATGGCAGGTAAGATTTGTTTTACTATAAGTATTGTACTACATAGTGTCTGATATAATTTGCAGAACAGCTAACAGATTCTCACCTAATTGACAGATTTGTACTGTAGCCCGATTCTAGGTTTAAATTAAAATACAAGGTGAAAGGTACCCAATCAGATTAATTTCCCTTGAATTTGGAAAGCACCCAATCTTCCTATGTTCTTTCTTTTATTTAAGTGTCCTCATCTGTTTTACAATCATGAGGGCAGTGGGACAGATTCAAATGCTCTTGGTGCTTTTTATAACCTGATGAGTCAATAATAAATTCCCAAAAAATCACTTCTCTCAATCTTCAAAGCAGCTACATGGAGCTGCTAACTACTCCAAATACCATTATTTGCAAGCAATGATAGCTTCCATGCAGAGTCCCTTAGTCATAAATAGTGTTAAACTGTGGTTATGGTTTCAATTTGTTTGTATTTTGGGTGGAATTTCATTCTCTGAGAATAATCATTTTAGCAGTTTGGGAGCATTTGATGACATTTTCTGTTTTGGTTCTTGAGTGATTCAGGTTTTCAAAATGAAAGGCAACTTTTCCTATAGGCTAACTAGGGCCTCAAGATCAAGAGGGGCCTACATTCAAATTGTTAGCAAAATTAAAATTACACTATTCTAAAAACAAACAAAT